TGACAGGCTCGTCACGTCGGCCACGTCGGGTTCCGCGGCCGAAGTATTGCAGGTGAGCGATGAGCTTGATTGCCCGCCGGGCTAATTGGATAATTCCTGCATCGCCCGCGGGTCTTATCTGGTTTTACATTTTTTCGGGTTTCTTTTTTTGTTTTCTTGTTGCAGAATCTATTGGAAAATGATGATTTGATCAACTTTCGTTTTTAACCCACGTCCGACCAGCTGGTTGTAATTTTTTTTATATAGAATAAGTTTGTTACTGTATTCCGCGAAAAGCGGATACGAAGAGAAAAATATGATACCGAAAGATTGTCTGTTCCCTAGAATTACGGTTCAAGACACTGTTTCTTGGTCGAGTAGATTACATTAGATGTTCTTCTTCGCAAGATTTTTCTTTTATTTAGAATATGTTCATCTCCTTTGTCGAGATATGATGAATAATGAAAATATTTCCTCTACCATTTTTCTGCATAATGCTTATTTTACTCAAATTCCCTGATGACGATTGATGACTGATTTTCATAATTTGTAGCCCTTGATTAACCATTTGCAATTTGCATTGGATCAACTGGTTCGATCCTTGTGAAGCCTGAAAATAAATATGTTTTTAACGCTGGAAAAATGGCTGAGGTATGGAAATTTACTGTCTTCCTGAATTGCATCATGAAAGAGTTTTCGAGGTTCTGAGAACCCTGCCAGTTTCTCTGTCGCAAACAGCTGGTGTGGTTTTTTCAATATAATTTTTTTTCAATGCGTATGTAGTACAGTATTTATTATTTCAATATTGCTAACCACCGAATGATTTTTCCCCTTTCGTACTTGGAAATTTCAGCGTTATTGTTTCACTATTCCATCAGATATCCTCGGGACCTCTCACATTTCCACCTAATTTCACCGATTTAAGCGAGCAAATCATCGGGAATCGGGATGCTAATAATTTTCTCGAATGTGCCAGCCAAATCATAGTCGGGAAAATGCAATGTGCTCCAGTTTTTCTGTTGAATTATTCGCTGAATTCCTCCTTCAGCTGCTTTAAACTTGACTCATGGATGCCTAATTGCACGTTTGAAATGAATGTCATGCGTTTAATGAATCCTTCTGAATAAGAATTGACGCATTTATTAGAGTACCCTCATGTCAGGGACAGCATTCTTGGTTCCACGTTTTGCATTTTCACAGCACATTATATTGAAGCCGTATTCTTGAAAGTGGGTGTTGTGAAAATAACAACAAAAACTTTTGGCATTTGAAATGCACATGTACCTAGATACCTAACCTGACTGCTACTAATTTTCGTACAATATTGTAAAAAAGATTTTCCAAGTAATCTCCTGCACTTTTTGAAAACATTTCGGTCTTGTAAAATATAATTTTTTTGCGGAGAAATCTTCTCTAGCTTTTGGCTCCAAAGTCATGCAGATTTTTTTCTTTCTGATGCATGTTGAAAATTCTGTGAATGAGTCTTTCGTGTGAATGAAGTTATTTGAGAAAAAATTAATTTTTTTGCGGAGAAATCTTCTCTAGCTTTTGGCTCCAAAGTCATGCAGATTTTTTTCTTTCTGATGCATGTTGAAAATTCTGTGAATGAGTCTTTCGTGTGAATGAAGTTATTTGAGAAAAAAACAAAATGAATAAACAGAAGCATTCCTTGTCTTCTTGTGTGTGTGTCGCAGATGGACCACAGGCATCCAGAAAGTGACGCTTCGTCGACAACGAGAGCTGTGCTGTACGCGGAGCCGGGTTCCGTCGGGTTCCAAGCATTCCATGACCAGCTGGGCTCGCTGGCAACGCAACGACACGTGGACTACATTTTCCGGCCCTTTGTTCGGGTGAGTTATAT